TCACAGTTTAGTCTCATGTTTGAAAAAAAAAAGTTTCCCTTTATAACCAACAGAGACATCAAGTTCATTTGAGGTTTGATCTACTTGGCTTGTTTATAGCACAAAAAATAAATAAAATTATACTGTTTCTGTAATATTGTCCCAGGCATTAGGAGTAGAGCATTTTTAATTTTTCATTTAGGGGTGTGCAAAAATATTAAAATATCGCTCTGTTGCATCGTTTAATCTTTAATATATCGCAGAGAGTATTTTTAGGTATATTTTACTTAATTATTTTGTGTAAGAGCTACAGTTGGGTTGACATTTTCATAGGGGTGTAATGATATCCAAGTCTCACGATACGATATGGTCACGGTACGATATTTATTGCGATACTGTGGGAAAGCTCACGATTAGAGATGTAACAATATCCAAAACTCTCTGTACAGTATTTTCATGATATACATCTCAAAGTACGAAGTATTTATTGCGATATTTTATGTTAATATGCTACTTTTTTTTCTTAAATTGCCTTGACAAAGACTTAATTCAAAGAGCCAAGACTTAAAAGTGCTTAGAACTGTTATTTCTTCTCGTAGTTTGCACTGAAATGGAGCAAAGGATCATGGTCTATGTAGTTCCCTTTGTCTTTTTTTTTTAGCTATTACTGCATCATAACTCTTAATTTAAGCAAAGAGACTTGTAATTTGCTATGTTGTGATTAGTGCTGGGTATTATTAAGAAGCTCCCGATACGATACATATCTCGATACAGTGCACTTTTGATTCGATACGATATATTTCAAATCAATTTGATACAGTTCAGTCAAAAATAACGGTGTAAAAAAATTCTGGTGCGAAATTCATATGAAACGCAAACATTTTAATCATAAAAACAGTGAAAATGTTAAATGTGTTGAGTTTCCTTCCTCCAAACAAGCAACAAAACTGAAGCTGTAACAAAATAATTTTGTAAAATACACCAAAAAATACTCTTGGTGATATATCGATACAGCAGCCCAAGATAGCGATACTGTTTCATCACATTAAACTATACGATATATCGATATTTCAGTATTTTTGCACAGCCCTAATTGTGATGCTCCACGATATTATTGTGAGAACTTTGACGATACAGTATGACGATATTTTGGCTATTGTTGCATCTCTACATTTTCAGTTTTAATGAGTAAAAACGGTGTTTTTCATTTTAACTTTGCACAAACGTAGTGGTTGTGACGGGGTTCTATTCTGGGGTAATGATGACAGTGTAGTCAGAAGGATGTTTTGATGATTTTAATTAGTGACAATGTTCCAAAAATAGTAAAGTTTGAAGAGTGCTATATACAGAACAGCGAAACAACAAACAAAGAAAAGGTATTTACAATATTTTCATAGAACAGCAGAAATATGCTTCATAATCTGTAGGATGTTACCTTCCACGTGCAGGTCCAGGCCTAAACTGACTGAGGGAGGGAGAGTGGTCTTCTTTTATCCTGCAAGACTCATCCCCCAAACCAATTAGCACAAAATATGGGTTTTCACCTCTAAAATCAAAGTTAAATATTACAATAAAAATAGAAAAAATGCAGAAAAATACACTGAAGCACATGGCCATGTCTCTGCGCCTGTAGCAGAACCAGGGAAAGTAAAATTTATATTTTATTGTCAGCAGTATTTTTTTGATGATGATGATAGCCTTTGATTTTTACTGAACTTTATCGAACCGATTTTGAAATGTATCGTATCGAATCATATTGAATTGAAAGTGCACTGTATCGAAAAAAAACATCATATATCATTTTATTTATTGAGTTCAGGTCTATATTTCTGTAATGTTGTTCCAAACAACATAGGGGTGTGCAAAAATATCGAAATATTGTATAGTTTAATTTGATGAAACCGCATCGATATCGCGGGCTGCTGTATCGATATGTAGCCAAGAGTATTTTTAGGTGTATTTTACAAAATTATTTTGTGTACGAGCTACAATTCTGTTGATATTTTTACCATTTTGATTAGTAAAAATGGTGTTTTTAATTTTAAGTTTGCACAAACTTGGTGGGCGATGATGATGATTTAGCCTTTGTTTTTCTACTGAACCTTATCGAACCGGTTTTGAAATGTATCGTATCGAATCGTATTGAATTGAAAGTGCACTGTATCGAAAAAAACATATCATATATAATTTCATTTACTGAGTTCAGATCTATGTTCCTGTAATGTTGTTTCAAGCATTATAGGGGTGTGCAAAAATATTGAAATTTTGTGATATCTTATCGTTTAATTTGATCATACAGTGTTTATATCGTGGGCTGCTGTATCGATATATCACGGAGAGTATCTTTAGGTATATTTTACTAAATTATTTTGTGTAAGAGCTACAATTGTGTTGACATTTTCACCATTTTGATGAATAAAAACAGTGCTGTTTATTTTAACTTTGCACAAACTTGGTGAGCGATGATGATGATTTTATGATTTGTTTTTTACTGAATCTTATTGAACCGATTTTGAAATATATCATATCGAATTGTATTGAATTGAAAGTGCATGGTATCGAAAAAAACATCATATATAATTTTATTTATTGAGTTCAGATCTATGTTCCTTTAATGTTGTTCAAGCATTATAGGGGTGTGCAAAAATATTAAAATGTTGCGACATCATATTGTTTAATTTGATATGTATAGATATCATGGGCTTCTGCATCGATATATCGCCGAGAGTATTTTTAGGTGAATTTTACTAAATTATTTTATATAAGAGCTACAATTGTGTTGACTTTTTCATCATATTGATGAGTGAAATGAGCATTTTTCTTATTAACTTTGCACAAACTTAGTGGACTCAATAGACTTTTAGTATCACAGCCATGATTTAGCCTTTGTTTTTTTACATGAACGTATCGTATCGACTTGAAATATATCGTATCGAATCATATTGAATTGAAAGTGCACTGTATCAAAAAAAAAAAAGAAACACACATCGTATCGTAGCCTTTGTATCGTATCAGCAACTTAATGATACTCAGCCCTATTTGATTATCAATTTTAGTTAAGTTTAATTCAAGTTTAAGTTTTAATAGGGTTGCACAATACTAGAAAATATACTTTTTGACTTCTTTAATACTCTAACATACATACTCTAAACCAATCTAAAATCAGCCTAATTTAAAAACTACTACTACTACTATTACTAATATTTATGTGATTATTGGAGGATATTTATGTTTGTTGTGGTTTAATTTGGTCGACTAAAGACGTGCCGCCGATCAATTGGATGACTGAAAAGGGGGCGTGTCACAAAGCTCCCAAAACTGTTCCACGTCTCTTTGTATCTGAGCCAAACTGCGCTCGCAAGACTCACAAGACTCCACTTGCACGGGAGATCACGCAAAAGCAACAATTTCATGCAAAAACAACAATTTATGCAGAAATAAGTACTAGGAAACGGCGTGTTTATATAAAGACGGACCGGTGAATCATGGGTTTAATCTGACGTTTTACACATGGATGCCAAAAAATCATCAAACTCGCTTATACTGACAACTACTTCTTATCCTTATCAACTAAATTAGGGATGTAACAATATCAAAATCCCCCGATATGATATTTATTGTTATATTTTGTGGAGGCATACAAAAGTTTGAACATGCTCTTTTTTCGCTGAGGCCTTGAAAAGCCTTTGGTACTGTTAAAATACAAAGAATTATTTATTTATTATTATTTCTTCATGTAGTCTGCACTGACAACACCAAAGGATCATGGTCTATGTAGTTCTGTTTTTGGCAAGGCAAGTTTATTTATATAGAACAATTCATACACAAAGTAATTCAGAATAATACAGAATAATAAATGCATTAAAATCACCGTAACTACTAATTTAAGCAAAGAGATTTGTAATAGAGGTCTGCGCGGGACAGAATTTTCGGTCCCGCTCCCACCCGCAGGTCCTGCAAGATGGAGATGTTTTACTTTCTTAAGATTTATCAAGCACGAAGAAGCGGAAAGGAATTGTCTGCGTCACGGACCAGTTTATATCAGATCAGATTTCCTCCTGAGAACGCTCGTCTAAACGTGGAATAAAAAAACGAAGACGCTGCACCACGTTCATGTCTTCTGTTAGGACTGACATCATATAAACGTAGCCTTAGATTCTAGATATAGTATCGGTACTTGGTTGGTCATTATTAGAATTGGATCTGGTGTTTTTCACCCGCAGAATTGGTGTGATGTTGGTCTTAATTTTCATTTAAGTCAGGGGTGTCCAAACTTTTTTCGTCAAGGGCCACAAATCTAAACACAGACGAAGCAGAGGTCTGATCGAGGGCCATAGACTGGTGCTCAATACAGTGAATAATTGTCTTTATTCATGCCAAGATCCTTAAACCACACACTAAATATTAAATATTTGCTTTATCAAGGTAGATTTTCAATAAACTTGCGCTATAAAAGTTCATTTTTAATTGATGCAAGGTAAGTTGAGACAGTTAATCTGGAAGCCTGAGGGCCAAGAAAAATTTGTCTGAGGGCCGCGTTTGGACATGCCTGATTTAAGTGGTCCTAAAAAGGTCTTTAAAAAGTCTTAAATTTGGGGTAGTCAAAGCTGGGGATATCCTGTTGTAGCTAAGGCCCTAAATATGCTTTATTTTATGTCCAAAAAGTTGTTTATACATGTTTCCTTTGTGTTTTGTATGAAAGAGTGTGAATTTTATTTTATTTTTTTCTGGTCCTATAGCTTTAATTGCAGCCATATGACACAACTACAGCAGCAGATTGTGAAATAAACAGGTTGTGCTGAAGAAAAAGGATGTGTAACACTTCATTAAAGAGAAAAAGGGGGAGTTTTAACAGCAAAACTTAAAAAAAAAAAAAAAAAAAAAAAAAAAAGGCAATGGCTTAGGTGTTGAAGGGTTAACTTCCTAACAGCACTCAACCGCATCCTTAATCACTTAAGCCAGGTAAAAAAATCCCCCTGGTTCCATAACCTATTAACCACGGTGTTATTGTGTCCTGACAGGTGACGGGCTGACACCTGTATGTGAGCTCCTCGCCCAGAGCCGCGGGTCACAGACGGGAGGAGAGACTCGTATCATCCTCATCAGCAGCAGCAGCAGCAGCAGACGAAGAAGAAGAAGAAGCTTGTTTCTCTTCAGAGCCGCAGCACTTTGTCCACACACGCGCACACGAGCACGCACACGCCAACATGGAGGCCGTAGCCAAATACGATTTCAAAGCCACCGCGGACGACGAACTGAGCTTCAAGCGCGGGGAAATCCTTAAGGTAAGCTCCGGGCAAAACGACAAATGCACAGATGTGAAACAGAACTTGGTGGCATTCTGTTATCTTTCTGTAACCTGAGGGACTTAAAGGTTGTATGGAGGATTTTTTTTTTGTTTCAAATTGTCAATGAAAGTTTAAAATACCATTACAGAGACGCAGCAGCCTTGTAATTATGACCAAAAAAAAAAAAAAGAATGAAAATCTATCAACTGTGGACGTAGTGAGGCCAGATAAACATCAGCCAATAGAAAACCAGGCTACCTCATTTTCTATTGGCTGTTAGGTTGTCAATCAAACTATGTTTCTAGGGTAACTATGCAGCGGTTCTTAGAGGCTTTTTCTTTTTGTTGCCTTGGCGGACAAGAATCCACGACCAGTTCGCTGTAAAAGAAAGTCCGTTTTTGAGGTCGCTGAAAGAAGAAGGGAAGAGGAAAAAGACCGAAGCCAAACTGAGGTGATTCTTGGAGATTCCTTTCAGCGATTGCGCGACTGAAGCAGACAAAGAATCTAAAAACTGAGGAGTCGGTCTCTAAATTATTTCTAGAGGGAGGGAGCTGTGGAGGAGGAAGGTGGTGTCACGCATGCACAACATTTGTAAAAGGACTGTCGCTGTATTTCTCTTCCCTTAAAAAAATCCTCTATACAACCTTTAAAGTGCGTACGACAGGTTAGAGCACTTTTCACGAACTCGTAGTTAACATACTGGTCCATCTAAGCACGGTGAAAAATAAAGTTTCAGATAACCTCGATTAGAACCTTGTGTTAGGTTTTAGCGTCCAAAACATTATTTAGGAAGAAATTCGGAAGAAAAAGGAGGGACTGGGACTAAGTCGAGGGCCAAACTAAATATTTAATGAAAAGCATCTGCATGTTTTCTCTTCTTTCGAGATATGTAATGTTAAACCTTTTCTAATTAAAATAAATGTTTAATAATAGTTTTGCTTAAACATTGAATCCAGAACAAGCATAATATAAAATAATTACAAAATTTTAAGTAAATAATGTCTCTATAGTCTATCTGTAGCCGGCGGGCAGCTCTGATACATATTTGACATGATCTCGCGGGCCAAATATAATTATATCTCGGGCCAAATTCAGCCCTCGGTCCTGAGTTTGACATGTCTATTTCATAGTCTACTTTTTAGGGACTTTCTAAGCATTGTTTATGGACTTCTAAGTAATTTTTATGCAAGTCTCAGTTTCTGTTTGCAGAATAAAATTACAAATTATTCGAATACTCCTTATTTACTTGGTTCCCTATTTTATAGTATAGGGCAGTTTTTAAGTGTCTTGAGCAACCTCTAAATACTGACTAATTTGTATAAAATTTGGACCCAAATATTTCGGCCAGATATCGAATCAAATGCAGGGTTCTAATCTAGAGAATCTTAAGAAAAAATTTTGGACCACCCCAATAATTATATAAGATAAGATTTTGCAAAAGACCAAAAACATACTTAATTTTGTACATTTTATTTTTAAATTCATAGTTAAGTTTATCATTTTATTTCCTGATTGGGCTGTATGTAGAGGTAATTACGTTACCTGGCAACCGTAATGTTAAAAGGGCCAAACTTTGTCTAATCATTACAGTTGTGTAATTTAGACCATGAGTTCTTAACGCTTTTGACCACGGGGCCCGACTTTTTCTGTAAAAAGTAACTCTGGGCCCAATATCATATTAAATGTTTATATTCTTCTGATTTTGCGGGCCTTAGGTAGATACTTGCTGTTTTAAAAATCACAAATAAAAGAAATGATAGACAAACAGTGCCGTTATTTGCTTTAAGGTGCATTGTGTAACTTTTCTTGGGGGATGGGATGTTTTGTAAAAGGCATCGGTAACACTTTATAATAACTACACCTTACTTAGCCTTAATAAAGCATGAACAAAGACTTAATTAATAATGAACAAAGATTTTATTAATAATGATTCACTCTTAGTAAATGCTTAAAAATAAATCGTCTTCACTTTAGAAAAGCTCTCAAAAAGACTTAACAGATAACAGCTGCATGAATTATCATTGCATTGCATTATTAGTAAATCATTCTCTCATCGCTTACTAATGATTAATAAATGCTCAAATGGTTAGTTCATGAGTAATTAAGCATGAAATAATTATGAATAACCATTTACAGCACAGGCAAATTAAGTGCAAGTGCTAATTAAGGTAGTAATTAAGTAGTTACTAAGCGTGAATCATTATTAATTAAGTCTTTGTTTATTATTAATTAAGTCTTTGTTCATGCTTTATTAAGGCTAAGTAAGGTGTAGTTATTATAAAGTGTTACCAAGGCATTTCTGAACAATAAAACCACCTCTAATGAAACAAAAGCTGAATATAGTTTTAATGCCGTACTGTAATAACATCTCTTTAAAGAAAAAAAAAAAGTAGACATACCCTACACTAAAAAAGTTACGCAATGCACCTTTAAATCAACGTTTAATCTGTCATAAAAGCGCATTCCTTGCTCATAAATTGCCTTTCGGATCGAATTTTTGCCATTGACAAAGTGTAGGTAGAGGTTTTTCGTTGTAAATATCCGCCACTTTCTGTTTTTCTGTTCTTTTCTTTTCAACTTTTCATCACAAACCGCCACTTAACTGATGGAAAACTATGATAAATATTGACCACAAGTACTACGCAACCCAACCAAGAAATGAGTAGAAAAATATTTGTGTTGTAGACTGCACTTGTGTCAGAACATGTCGAAAGAAATGGGTGACATCGGCAAAAGTGAACTGCGATATGCGTCGTGTAATCTGATCGTTTTTTGGGTTGGTTTTTTTTTTGCAATCTGCCAGAAAGTTGCAAAAAATTTCCTGGAAGTATCGCGTTTGAGGTTGAAGTGCTGCACCGCCATGATAAGGTGAAATGTATGTTTTTGATTCGGCACGTCTGGTTTAGGGTTCTGGTTAACTGTGAGTAATGAGACTTCGGGCGTAGAGCTGGAATTTGAATCCTGACCAGCTGATTTTTACCGAATTTCAACATAGGTTTCCTCAGAATGTTACGACAAGTTTACGTCCACCTCTGCAACAGCCCATTTAAAATATTCCTCCCTGTTGGTAAATTTGCAAAGGATTTCACCATATGTAAAGGTTAGGGGTGAGTTGATGTACAGTTGTAGGGAGTATTATCTGCACTTTTAAAAGCAAGGTTTAAAAAAGTACTGTACAAGCAGCAATGAACGATACAAAAAGCATAAACACAGCATACAGAAACGGAAAATGATGCAATCAATCCAATAAATTATAATAAATAAATAAAAATAAATAAAATAAAAATAAATAAAGCATAAAATAAAAATAAAAAATCTAAAAAAACTGTTAAAGGAAGGCCAACCAACGATAAAAATGGGATTTAAGAAGTGATTTAAAAGATGATACTGTGTTGAGTTGTTGTTGTGCAGTTGTAGGGAGTATTATCTGCTGCATAAGCATGTTTTTTGTAGAATTGTAGGGAGTATTATCTGTATCATAAGGGTGAGTTGTTGTACAGTTGTAGGGAGTATTATCTGTTCCATAAGGGTGACTTGTTGTACAGTTGTAGGGAGTATTATCTGTATCATAAGGGTGAGTTGTTGTACAGTTGTAGGGAGTATTTTCTGTTCCATAAGAGGGATTTGTTGTGCAGTTGTAGAGAGTATTATCTGTTCCATGAGGGAGATTAGTTGTACATTTGTAGGGAGTATTATATTACCTAAGGGCGACTTGTTGTGCAGCTGTAGGGATTATTTGTTACATAGGGTTGAGTTGTTGTACAGTTGTAGGGAGTATTATCTGTTCCATGAGGGGATTTGTTGTACAGTTGTAGGGAGTATTATCTGTTCCATGAGGGTGAATCGTTGTACAGATGTAGGGAGTATTATATTATGTAAGGTTGAGTTGTTATACAGTTGTAGAGAGTATTATCTGTTACTTAGTGTTGAGTTGTTGTGCAATTGTAGGGAGTATTATCTGTTACTTAGTGTTGAGTTGCGTTTAGAAGAGACGGGAAATTTCAGAGCTAAAATTATCCAAACGATTCTAGTGAAAGTGTGTGGAATAAAAAACAAACAAACTGTGAAGCACTTCCTGTATTACTACGTGAAAATCCAAAAGTAGCGCAGTACTCATTTGACTAAAAACAAAGTTCACGCCATTATATGTAAAATTTGACTGAAAATCTTCTCTAGTTTTTTTTTAGTTTTATAATTTTCCTTCCTGGTCGGACACTAATTACTAATGCTGTAATTCCAAAAGTTTACCTAGCAACCATAATGTAAACCATGGCCAAAACATGTCTAAATTATGATTATGACGAGTTATGATCATCAAATTTCTCACAATAATATCGTGGACCATCACAATATATCGAAATACGAGTCTCTTTGCTTAAATTAAGAGTTATGGTGCAGCAATAGTTTAAAAAAAGAAACTACATAGACCAAAGGTACATAGACCATGATCCTTTGCTCCATTTTAGTGTTGACTACAAGAAGAAATAACAGTTCTAAGCACTTTTAAGTCTTGTCAAGGGATTTTAAGAGTAAAAAAGTTGCACATTAACACTTTTCCCCCCACAAAATATCGCAATAAATATCGTACCGTGAGATTTATATCGTAAAAATGTCGTACAGAGAGATTTGGATATCGTTACATCCCTAATCGTGAGCCTCCCCACCGTATCGTGAACTTTTTTTTTTATTTATTTATTTATTTTGCACATGTAACATAACAATAAAAAAAAAAAAACAGGGGCCGGAAGAGGCAAAAAACCCAAAAGGGCTTATAAGCGTTCCCAAGATATCGCAATATCGTTAGACTAAATAAAATAAAAGGTTTTGTTACTGATTTTTATTTGAAAATGTGTAAATTGTCTTTGCGTTTTGGTAGAATTGAGTTGAGGACATTTTAGAGCTCACCTCACGCTACCTCCTGTATTTTTGTACTTTTATTTTCCATTTTTCCCGACAAATTGCCACTTCACTGATCCGAAAACTGCGATCAAACCTGT